CCCCCCCCCCACCCCACACACACACACATACACACACAACCCAGCACTGCAGCTGGAGCCACAGGTCAGTGTCCCAGAGGGAGGCCTGGGCTGCGGGACCAGCCTGGCCTGGCCCACCTGGTGTCCCCGGGGGGGAGGGGGGATGCTGTGGCCATGTGGGCTGGGGGGAGCCCGTCTGATTCTCACCCTGCTCCCCAGCGCGCCCGGACCCATGCGGCCTGAGCATCGTGCCCAAGGACCCGGCGGTGGCTTTCGGGGGTGACGTGGTTCTGAACTGCACCAGCACGTGCTCCAATCACACCAGCCTGGGCTGGGAGACGTCGGTGCCGAAGGTGACGGGTCGGGGAGACAGATGGGTGTCTCTGCACATCTCCAACCTCACGGATTGGATCCTGGAGCCCCTGTGCTACAGCAACAACCCGCAGATCATCGAAAAAACCAGGCTCCACGTGTACCGTACGCTGAGGTTTAACCGCGCGCTCACCCCCCCCCCCGCCCCACTCCCCAGTGCCGTCCCTGGGAGGGGAAGGACTTTTCCAAGAACTAGAAGTCGGTGCAAAGAGTAAAACCCCAGAGTCCTGATTCCCAGCACCCTGCTCCTACCACTGCCCCTCCCACACCTGGGAATGGAACCCAGGAGTCCTGGCTCCCAGCTCCCCCCACCGGCCCCCTTCCACACCTGGGAACGGAACCCAGGAGTCCTGCATCCCAGCTCCTACCACTGCCCCTTCCACACCTGGGAACGGAACCCAGGAGTCCTGCGTCCCAGCTCCAACCACCAGCCCACACAGTCCCCTCCCCCCCCGGAATGGAACCCAGGAGTCCTGCCTCCCCGGGCATCAAGCACAGTCTTTACAAGAAGGCAGGGAGAAGCTACAGGAAGGTTAATTCCCCTTTGTTTCCCCTTCTCCACCCCCCCCCCAGGATTCTCACCCCCCAAGATCCACCTGAGAGCCGAGATGGTGGCCGGTCACCAGGAGCGAATCACCTGCAACGTCTCCAGCCTTGTGTCCGGCTCCAGCCCCTCCGACATCAACGTCACCCTGAGCAGCGGGAACAGCACCCTCAACGAGAACCGCGGCAGCCCGGCCGTGGGGTACAGCTTCGTGGTGCAGCCCACGCAGCACGGGCAGGAGATCGTGTGCCAGGCCTGGCTCCGCGTGGGCCTCCAGGTGCTGAGTGACAGCGCCAGGGCCACCCTGCAGGTCTGGGGTGAGGAGCTGTCAGTTACTGTGAGGGGGTCCTTAGTCCTTAGCGTGCAGCAGCTTCCTGACCATCAGAACGGCCAGACTGGGTCAGACCAAGGGTCCATCCTAGGGTTACCATACGTCCGGTTTTTCCCGGACATGTCCGGCTTTTCGGCAATCAAACCCCCGTCCGGGGGGAAATGCCAAAAAGCCGAACGTGTCCGGGAAAAATACCAGCCGGGCACTTCCCCTCCCGTGGCTGCTCTGCTCCTCCCCTGACTCAGACTTCGGCTCTGTTTAAGAGCTGAGCTGCCCAAGTGCTACCGGCTTCGGGCAGCTTGGCTGTTAAACAGAGCCGAAGTCTGAGTCAGAGAAGGAGCAGAGCAGCTGGAGCCGGGGAGGGGAAGTGCCCGGCTGGGGGCGCAGGGTCCGGAGGCAAGGGGGCTGCCGAAGCCTGAGCGCTACCGGCTTTACAGGTTTGCCAGGCAGCCTCCAGACCCTGCGCCCCCGTCTGGGCGCTTCCCCTCCCGGGCTCCAGCTGTGCTGGGGAAGCGCCGGCCAGGGGCGCAGGGTCTGGTGGCTGCCCGGCAAACCGTGAAGCCGGTAGTGCTCGGGCAGCCCTTTTCACGTGGCTGGGAGGGAGGAGGGGGAGTTAGGGCGGGGACTTTGGGGAAGGGGCGGGGAAGGGGCGGGGCGGGGTGGAAAAGGGGCGGGGCCAGGGGCCGTGGAGTGTCCTCTTTTTTTATTTTTTAAATATGGTAACCCTAGTCCATCCAGCCCAGTGTCCTGTCTGCCGACCGTGGGCAGTGCCAGGGGCCCCAGAGGGAATGAACAGAACAGGGAATCATCCAGTGATCCATCCCCTGCCGCCCATTCCCAGCTCCTGGTCAAACAGAGGCTCGGGACACCATCCCTGCCCATCCTGGCAAATAGCCATTGACGGACCTACCCTCCATGAACTGATCTAGTTCTTTTTTGAACCCTGTTATAGACTTGGCCTTCACAACATCCTCTGGCAAGGAGTTCCACAGGTTGACTGTACATTGTGTGAAGAAATACTTCCTTTTAAACCTCCTGCCTATTAATTTAATTGGGTGACCCCTAGTTCTTGTGTTATGAGGAGTAAATAACACTTCTTATTTACTTTCTCCAAACCAGTTATGATTTTATAGACCTCTATCCCTATCCCCCCTTAGTCGTCTCTTTTCCAATCTGAAAAGTCTCAGTCTTATTAATCACTCCTCATACAGCAGCTGTTCCATCCCCCTAATCATGTTTGCTGCCCGTTTCTGAACCTTTCCCAAATCCAATACATCTTTTTTGAAATGGGGCGACCACATCTGCACGCAGTATTCAAGATGTGGGCGTACCATGGATTTATATAAAGGCAATATGATATTTTCTGTCTTATTATCTATCCCTTTCTTAATGATTCCCAACATTCTGTTCACTTTTTTGACTCCGCTGCACATTGAGTGGATGTTTTCAGAGAACTCTCCACAATGACGCCAAGATCTTTCTTGAGTGGTAACAGCTAATTTAGACCCATCATTTTATACGTATAGTTGGAATTATGTTTTCCAATGTGCATTACTTTGCATTTATCAACATTGGATTTTATCTGCCATTTTGTTGCCCAGTCACCCAGTTTTGTGAGATCCCTTTGTAGCTCTTCGCAGTCTGCCTGGGACTTAACTATCTTGAGTAATTTTGTATCATCTGCAAATTTTGCCACCTCACTGTTTGCTCCTTTTTCCAGATCATTTATGAATATATTGAATAGAACTGGGCCCAGTATAGACCCCTGGGGGACACCACTATTTACCTCTCTCCAGTCTGAAAACTGACCGTTTATTCGTACCCTTTGTTTCCTGTCTTTTAAGCAGTTACCAATCCATGAGAGAACCTTCCCTCTTACCCCATGACAGCTTACTTTGCTTAAGAGCCTTTGGTGAGGAACCTTGTCAAAGGCTTTCTGAAACTCTAAATACACTATGTCCACTGGATCCACCTTGTCCACGTGCTTGCTGACCCCCTCAAAGAATTCTAGTAGATTGGTGAAGCATGATTTCGCTTTACTAAAACCATGTTGACTCTTCCAGAAGAAATTATGTTCATCTCTGTGTCTGACAATCAGGGCCGGCTCTAGGCACCAGCAAAACAAGCGGGTGCTTGGGGCGGCAGCGCCTTTGGCGGGGG